TGTTTTTTATGTCCGGTTAGTGCACCTCCGCAATCATCTGTTTTTAACCGTCTTCACTGAGTTTCGATTATATCTGAATTTGTCCGGAATCATCTGCAAACGTCTGCTTACGTCTGGGTTTATCCGCGAGCATATGCTTTTACCCGCAAACGTCTGCCTAGTCCAATTTCACCCGCCAACATATGCGAACATCTGCAATTACCCGCGAACAACTGTTTTTATCCGCGAACATCTGCAATCACCCGCGAACATCTGCAATCACCCGCGAACATCTGCAATCACCCGCGAACAACTGCTTTTATCCGCGAACATCTGCAATCACATGCGAACATCTGCTTTTACCCGCGAACGTCTCCTTTCATACGGTTTCACCCGCAAACATGCTTTTATCTGCGAACGCCTGATATTATCCGCAAACATCTGCTTTTATCGGCAAACATCTGCTTTTATCCGCAAACATCTGATTTTATAGGCAAACATCTGCTTTTATCCGAAAACATCTGCTTTTATCTGCAAACATCTGATTTTATACGCAAACATCTGCTTTTATCCGCAAATATCTGCTTTTATCCGCGGATGTTTGCGGATAAAAGCAGATGTTTGCCGATAAAAGAAGATGTTTGCGGGTAAAATCAGATGTTTGCGGATAAAAGCATATGTTTGCGGATAAAATCAATTGTTTGCGGATAAAAGCAAATGTTTGCAGATTAAAATAGATGTTTGCGGATAAAAGCAGATGTTTGGAGATTAAAACAGATGTTTGCGGATAAAAGCAGATGTTTGCAGATAGAATCAGATGTTTGCGGATTAAAACAGATGTTTGCGGATTAAAGGAGGCGTTCGCGGATAAATGCAGATGTTTGCGGATAAAAGCAGAAGTTTGCGGATTAAAGCAGACGTTCACAGATAAAAGCAGATCTTCGTGGATAAAAGCAGATGCTTGCAGGTGAAATCGGATGAATCAGAGTTTTGCGGACTAAATTAGATGTTTGCGGATTAAAACAGATGTTTGTGGATTAAAGCAGATGTTCAAAGATAAAAGCCGATCTTTGCGGATATAAGCAGATGTTTGCCTATAAAATAAGATGTTTGCGGATAAAAGCAGATGTTTGCCGATAAAAGCAGATGTTTGCGGATAATATCAGATGTTTGCAGATAAAAGCATGTTTGCGGGTGAAACCGTATGAAAGCAGATGTTCGCGGATAAAATGAGATGTTTGCGGATAAAAGCAGATGTTCGCGGATAAAAGCAGGCGTTCGTGGATAAATGCAGATGTTTGCGGATAAAAGCAGAAGTTTGCGGATTAAAGCAGACATTCACAGATAAAAGCAGATCTTCGCGGATAAAAGCAGATGTTTGCAGGTGAAATCGGATGAATTAGAGTTTTGCGGACTAAAGTAGATGTTTGCGGATGAAATCAGATGTTTGTGGATTAAAATAGATGTTCGCGTATAAAAGCAGATGTTTGCAGGTGCAATCGGATAAAGCAGACGTTTGCGGATAAAATCAGATAAAACCGGGTGAATGCAGATATAAACCCTTATACAGGTATTTGCGGATGAAACCAGATGAAAGCAGACATAGAACTAAACAGATAAAACCCGACGTTCGCGGATAATATTTATACCCGCAATTGCAGATAAAAACCGACATGCCGAGTAAAATCAGATATGTCGGATGAAAACAGATATAAATGGACATAAAACTAGCTTGGTTTTTTTATCCGCAATCACGTTTTGAATAATTCAGACATTTTATAGAATCCATATTAAAAAAGCTAATAAACCATGTTTTTATTTATAATATCTTATTAGCTTATTATAATTATCAATGGGTACTATTTTTACCTTGATGCAAATTATTTATTAAATTTAATTTACTAAAATTTTATTTATTACAATTATTTTTATTGCAAGGCATGGTTCTTGCATTTACTGAATAACATAATACACTTTTGTTTTATTAAAATTAACGCAAAAATATATAATGCCGTAGTTATTTTTAAATTTAAATTAAAGGTGCTGTTAGTGTTTTTTTCTAATTTGGTTTTTATTACAATTATTACGCACTATTTTAATTATCCTCTTAAAACTTCATTTATGGCAAAATGTTTAAACTACATTACATTCTTAAAACATGATCGTTTAGTTAAAAGCAAAAAGAAAATTTTTTAGTTGTAGATTTTAAAAAATTATTAATTTTTTCCAAAGCAAACGATAGATAAGTAGGTACACGAAAATTTCAATTTTTTGTGAATTTATAATATTTGTTTAAAAACCCATTTTAAAGAACAAAAATGATGTATCTATATATACCTACCATTTATATCTAAATATATTATATAATTTATATTTAAAAGTCAATTAAATGTGTACATCCAAATTACCACTTAATGGCATCATTAGATGCATTATTAATAAAAGAACCAATCCATACCTTAAATGTTAAATTATAAATGTATTTATATATTTAATAAAATAAATATATTTTGGAGGAGTCCAATTAACCGATAAACGCAATCATCAAAATACATAAAAAGGCTTAAAATGAAAAATAATATAAATACATGTGAGGGTCAGTGCGGCAACGTCGCTGGAGGCAAGTTCAACCGAGGCACCTCTGGAAATATATTCACAGGAGGCAAAAAGATTGTCTACTGTGTGGAGGCGACTTCACCTTAAGCCTTATCAAAAATGTGTATAAAAATTCTTTCTTTATTTTTAAGAAAAGTTTTCCCCTCTCAGGTTGCTCATATAAAGAAAGACTTTATTAATTTATTTCTATAAAAAAAACTCGTAAATTCCTATTCCTTCTGGTGGAGGCCAGGTCTCCTTCGAACGTATGGAGCCGAATAAGATAGGCGTGCACATATATATATATATATATATATATATATATATATATATATATATATATATATATATATATATATATATATATATATATATATATATATATATATATATATATATATATATATATATATATTTAACTTCACTTTATATGTGTTTGCGATTTTGCAAGCGAAAAAAAAAATAAATTCGTTTCCGTTTTATTTTTAATCTATAAATAATAATAAACTTAAAAAAATCAGTATCATACCCAAATTTTATTTTAAATATCTATTTGGGATGTTCCAGCGCCGCCTCTGGATTAACTAAATTTAATTTACATTAAATTAAGCCCTTTGCCTACTACTAAAAACCTAAAAGGTTTTATCAAATTCGCCCAAAAAATAAATATTTTTTTTAAATAACTTTACCACCCTGCCTCTCGAAAACGAAGCTTAAAAACATACATATTTTTCTTCTGATATTTTCGATTTCTATAGATCACTAAATTTTCCCAATTAAAATCTGCGACACCCTGTATAAATGTAGGTATTATACTTATAGCATACTTGATGCACCCTGAATAAAGGTAGTGTGCAAAACTTGTCTTATTATTATTTTATTTAAATAAACGTTGACTGTTAATATTTTAGCCCATAATTTTATTTCACCCAAGGCCGCAAGTATGTTGAAGCTGTGATATACGATAAGAGGGTCGTCGCTATTGTTACTAGCGATGCAACGTGTTTTAAAAGACGTTGCATCGCAATTAACGACAGCGACGACGCTTTTTTTGTTTATTACAGCTCCAACATGTTTTCAATATTCCCCTGCACTTTCGCTCGCGCATGCGCGCTAGCAATGTCACGGAGTGATATCCCATTGAGTGCGTATAGCGCTTGAATGTCACGACTTAATATACCATTGATTGTGTATTGTGGAAACATATGAATGCGCCAGTGATATCACAATGTCACGACGAGATTTCGGAGTGATTTCAATACGCAATCACAAATGTTTACTGGGAAAGTGCCCATTTTAAGGGTACTTTCCTAGTACCTAAGCAATATATTTAAAAATTATTCAATTTCACCTTGTAGATCAAGTTATTAAAAAAACGATTTTCAGGAGCGTCCGTTATGAGCCAGTATTTCCGTAGGGGGGCTGTAGGAAAAAAAATTATAAGAACTTTTCATATTATTTTTATGTGTTATATCTAAATCCAGGAGATTGCCCACATATTCTGGGACACCCTGCATATATTATTATAATCAGTTTAAAATTCACTTTTCTCTTGATATCAGTTTATAAATATTTGTAAATTTTCAGAAAAATTGACTTTTTAATTTTTTTTTGTATTAGGTACCTACCTGAAAATTTCCCAATTTTTTTTCGCTAGCTCAATTTTTCCGAAAATTTTAAAACCCTAAATGTTACCAAAATATATCTTTATTATAAGCTAGAATAAGTAATTATCCTGGGTTACAAGTTAAAATCATTATCACAAAACACAATCGTTTTAACAGCGCCATCTGCGTACAGTGCGACACACTAAGTATACGCTAATTTTGGAAAATAATGTTTAGTTTTTTATTAAGAGTTTTATGATTGTTTTTCTTAATTTTTTTATTTTTAGTAGGTATCAACTCTATTTATTGGCTGATTTATTTTTGTATGTAAAACACCAGTTGTGGTTATGTTTGGTTGATTTAGTAGGATTTTCGAATTCAGGTTTGATTAGTAGTAGCCTAGTACTACTAGTAGGATATCCTAGCCTTATGGCCGACAAACATTGGCAACACTGCCTATGGCATATGACTCATTGATTTGTTAGTTCATACTTCTACGTTTATAGATCATCTTTCACAACAAATACCCTTATTAGGAAATCAGATGAGGGTAGGTGGACCTAGGCCTAGATATGTATGGACCTAGGTCATAGAAAAGAAAATAAACCTTTTCCTTTTTTAGAATGTTACAGATTGTGAAACATTTAACCCTTCTGATATAAATTGGAAGCAGCTGCATGCTACATATCTGGTCCAACCAATTATAATGTTAAATGCAAAGAAGGAACAAGTTTAATAAAATGTTTGTAGAAACTTGACTAGAAATTTTTAGAATCTAATAGAAAACTAGATTACTTAAAACAAAATTTCAAAACAAACCTTATTCTGAGGTCTTCTTGCAGGACGATTCTGTTGATTTGTTGATTCCCTGGTAGGATCTTTAAGAAAACTATTTGGTGGATCTGGTGGTGGTCCACTTGTCTAAAAGAAATTAATTAGTACCTATTATAATTACAAAACAAAATTACATTAACATTTTCTTGTTCTTGATGCTTCTGATTTAAAAGCTCTCGTAAATCCCGTACACCAAAATTATTGTATGCTTTATTATAATTTGGTCTCTGATCTTCTTTAAAATGTGGTCTTGGTTCTTCTCGATAATTCTGCCTGCTGTCTTCCCGAAAATTCTGTCTTTGATCTCCACGGAAATTTTGTCTTTGATCTTCCCGAAAATTCTGTCTTGGTTCTTCCCGATAATTCAGTCTGTTCTCTTCGCGATAATTCAGTCTGTTGTCTTCCCGGAAATTCAGCCTATTGTCTTCCCAAAAATTCTGCCTGTTGTCGTCCCGATACCCTCCTCTACCTCTTCCAGAAAACCCCCTATTATGGTGTGAGGTAAATCTGGGTTTATGTGGTGTAGAGTTATTTTCGGCCATTTTTAAGGTTAAATAACTGTAAATATACCAGCATATACAATTGCCACTCTTATAAAATATTTTCAAAATGTTTTCATCAGTTATCTTTACCACATACCTTAAATCAGAGAATAAAAAAAGGTTATCTTCTAAGAAAATTTAATATAAATTATTATCAAGATACCTACCTTTTATTTTTACTTGTTACGTCAACTTGACGTTTCTACTAGAAACTTTCTAGTAGTTCGGTTGTCCGGCAGAATCAGAGACATTGAGCATATCCTTTTTCTATGTTGAGCATTGTGTTCTGTGCATTGAGAGCTCAATGATTGAGCTCTCAATGATTAAGCCATTAAGGCATTAAGGTGACCTCAATGAGGTCTCTGGGCGAAATACGCGATAATCGCGTTGCAATCCGAGAAAAGGGACCAGAGATAAAGAAGGGACCATTGAGCCTACAGTATATAGGTAGGTATACTATACCTACCCATGATACCTACCTATACCTGTACCTAACCTATCTATACCACATATTCTGTGTATACTAGTATATACCAAAGTTCTTTGGTATATACCTAATAGTATACTATATACTACATATAGGTACCTAATAGGATACTATAGTATAAATAGATACTATAAATAAAATATTAAAATAATTCTTTAATATTTTTTATCAATTATTTATAATTATATTAACCACAGACCGTGATATTAACTTAAATTTTAATTATAGGTAATATATACGGGTAATATTATATTACTAAAATATTATGTTTTAAAGGTAATTGTTTTGAATTTTATTTGTTTGTAAGAGAAATAGAAAGAAAAAAATCTAGAATAATTGAAAAGTAGAGTGGTTAAATATTTAAAGACTGATAAGAGGCGGGATAATTTTTATCAGATTTATTTGTTTGATTTGCCGCCATATTTCAAACGATTGGGCGTAGTAAACTAATAATTGTAAGCGCTTGCGCAGTGTGTTTTTAAAGTTGGCTGACATGAAGGGCGTTCGTATTTGTGTATCGTCTAAAAACAAGTGAAAAATAGTGATTATTGTATAAACATTTATTTTTCGGACTATCCAGTGACAATAGTAGTGCTTAATTATCAATAAACCGGTAAGTTTTTTATTTAGATTAAGCGTAATTTTAAATATAACCCATAAAAGTCAATTTGACCTTAAAAATGGCCGCTTGTAAGGTGTATCCAATGGAATTGATGATATAATTTTGGACAACTAGTTTTAAAGCTTTTGAAGCTATAATTGTAATATAACATGTTGTGTAATAAAATCGTAGGTATCGTATAAAAGCAATGTCCGCCGGAAAAAGTTTAAAGTAATTTTATCGTGATTGTTTTTATCGTATTGACAGATAGACTTTTAGGGCCCAGTGTCACTGAACTTAAAATTTAAAGAAAATATGTTCAAGTGCTATAAAACACCATTTTTACTAAATTAATGTAGGTAATATAATTAAATTTGAATAATACAGTATTGATTAAAATTTCGAAAATCTATTTTAAGAAATTTAAATGTAGCTTAAAAAATTCACTTTGGCTGTGAGAATCGAATTTTTTTACCGATTTGATAGCAGGTTAAAGGTCCAAGTTAACTTATCATTAATAAAACAAATATTTTAATTGGGGTACACTTCACATTATTATTTTTATTAATAGACATGATGCGTATGTGAGTCATAGTGGGCACAAGGTCGCTATTTTTATTAAATGCATTCATTCAGTTTTTTAATACGTTAACTTAAAGGGCGACAAATTAGGTTTTATGTCCACCCATCCATGGTGGGTATTTTAAAATATAATGTTAAAGAATGATGTCATTTTTGTTTGTTTTTAAAGTACAAATTTTGCTCCAGCCAGATATGGTATCTTGTAAATCAATAAAATTTCTAATTTAAATTTAGTGTTTGTTTGATTCTTATATTATTAATCATAAATATAATTATATAATATTAATAATAATTATAATTATTTAAAGAAAAAAGGAACAACCCATTTGAGGTTAAATCCAATCATTACCTACATAACAAACATGTTATATCATAGATAAATTCGCGCTTTAAAATAAAATGCTAATCGTGCCTACCTGTTAAAAGCAGGTTAAGAGCGCTTATCATTCATGGCTATTTTTGGAATGCAATATAGATTCTAAGTATTTTTTACAATGTACCTACCTACATAATATACAAATTATATGTAGTACCTAGTACATGTGGTTTTCAATTTTCGGAAATCAGCGTTATTGATCTCGATATATTTTATTCCAAGGCTTAAATAGGTCACTTAAAATAAATGGTCCAATAGGACAAAAAATGTAACACCCGAATTTATCATTTAGTTGAATTAAATTTCATGGCTATTTCGTAAATTGAATTAGTGCTAAAAATACATGATGATCTTTGTTTAGTCCTACGCGCGGTAAATAGGTAAACATTTTATTTATTATATGTTTAACCTTGTAAAATGTTAAAATTTTAATATTAGCATTTTTTTAAATGTATTCTAAATTCTTTGTACCTAAATTTAAAAAAATGTATTTTTGCCCCCCAATAGATCCATCAGGATTATCAGAATATTGATTAATAACATTGTTTTTAGAGGTTAAAACAAGGTTAATAATAAAAATAAATACTTTACTACAGTAGTTAGGTATACGCTAAAGAAGTATCGGGTTTTCACAACGCTCGCGCCATCTGGGGGAGTTCGATAGCATTGTGTGAATTTAAGAATTGTAAACACCTAACAACACAACAAATCGTGCCACGGTTTTTTCGATATTTTTTAACATTTTCCGACTTTATTCTCAAAAACCCTTGTTTCTAACACATGCGTTTGACAGCTGATTATCAAAAGTTTTGTTACGATGATAACAGCCAAGTGGTGGCGCTACTAGCGATGCTTCTTTAGCGTATAATGCCAATTTTTTACTGAAAAGATAGACCTGTATAAAAATTTACGGCATCCAATAAAATTTAAAATAAGTGTTATACATTTTCAAGAAATTAAAAGGATTTAATATTATTTAATACATACATTTATTATTATTAATTTAAAACCTTGTTAAATTATTTTAATAGCTACATAATAAGGTAGGTAGGTACAGTTGTATTCAATAAAAAAGCGTACAAGAATTAGAATGAGAGAAAACTGTCAAAATAATATTATTGCTTAAAACCGGCTTATCACTGACATAAGTCATTAAAATAATTATTATAGGTTATAAAGAGCATTGACGTCGTAGGTTAATTAAATAATATTACAAAAATTATTACCTTTTAATAATGAAAAAACAAACATGATAAATAATAATAAAATGTAATATTTTTGTCATGCATCCCTGTTTTTCTATTACTTGAGCTAATCTATTTGGGATGAACTGAATTAAATTTAATACAATATTTGGATTAATATCTTCCCAGCAGTATAGTAGGTATAGTATAGTTGTATAGTTTCCCATAAATCCTCAGATATCTCAAAAAAGCAGCATCCTGTTCAGGGGTGGACATTTTGGGACGACCTGAACCAACTTTTTGGTTTAGTAAATCTTCCTGTTCTCAGCGTTGCTTAATTTTTAATATATAGTTTTTATTTCTATTATACCACAGTACGAATTGACCATTCTTCTTCGATTCTTGATACTATTTGAGCCTTTTTAACTGACGAGGCATTTTTATTTTCTACTGTCAGTTATAGTCACTTAAGTCAGTGGAAAGCCGGTTTTACGCAATAATGTTGACAGTTTTCTCTCATTCTAATTCTTGTACGCTTTTTTAATGAATACAACTGTACCTAGTTATTATTAAACAATCTACCAAAATTTCCGTTGGACTTTTAACTAGGCATGATCACGCAATGGGCTTACTATATAATTAAATAAATTTTAACCAAATTTTAATTATTTAAGTTTTAAAGTAAATTAAATTAAAAAAATATAAATATTACAAAACTAAAATGTATACAAAAACAATTATTTAGATATTAACATTTTCATAATGCATCTGACCCATGTTATCATTATTGTTTATTAACAATTTTTATTATCAACGATTTTTATTTTTAAACATTATTTTTTTTGTTTACGAAACAGTCTTTTTATACATGTATATTTAAGTATAATGAAAAAAATCCTAGCTGGCATAGGTACCTACGTCAGAAAATAATTAAGGGAAACTGTATCACAAACTGTGATTCTGAGTTAAAAGGTAATGATTTTTCCGTAATCCCCATATTATTAAACATATTTATGTTATATACCAAAGATTAAATATATTTTGTATAGCTTTGCATATAGGTGCAAAAGTGCACGAAAAAATGTTTTAATTGATTTTTTACTCTCTAAAAGTTTTTATTTTATCTTCCAATTGAGGGGGTATATGTGTAGCTGACCTGTTAAGCAAAAATGCCTTATTTACAATATTAAGTTATAAAAGACAATAGATAATTTTTATTTTTTTAACAATGTAGTTATGATGTATTTAGTAAACCAAAGATAGCGATCGACTGTCTTATTCCTTTTATTTAACGCTAAACCGATTCCTATGATTTTTAATCACCATATCCATTATTCTGTTACTCTCACATTATATTGATCTCGAAACTCACCGAGTGTCATAAAAATCGTAAAACAACGAAAAAAAAACAATGAATAAGTAGGCGTAGGTACGCTGTTGCTGCGGTGAATCTGCAGTGTTGTCGCTAATAGTAAGTAAAGGTCATACACCCGCGGACCCTTCGACGAGTTGCGTGAACCTACTTCACGCGACCGACAATAATTGTTACAATAAGTAAACGTCATCGACGAATGCGAATGCAATATTTTATTACCGCATAGGTTACTTGATGATATCATAATAGTGCTTATATTAGTCCGTTTTAATTAGGAAAGCTTTTAATCAATTTTTGTTTTACCACTCCTCTGGTTTATTAACACGGTTTTATAATCCTAAGCACTATTTTAAATCTAAATTAAAGTTGGTTAATAAATTGTATTTTGAAGGTAAATAATTTATAAACAATACGCTAAAGAAATATCGCTAGTAGCGCCACCACTCGGCTGTTATCATCGAAACAAAAGTAGAACTTTTAATAATCAGCTGTCAAACACTTAGGGTACAAACGAGTGTTTTAGAGAATAAAGCCGGATAATGTTAAAAAATATCGAAAAAAAACCGTGGATCGATTTGTGTTGTTGGGTGTATTTCGAGAGGAAATCCTGGGTTGAGTTTTTACCGGTTTTCCAATAAACATCTGAATGAAGAAATAAATTGCATACAGTCTCTGTAAATATAAATTGTACCTATTAGATACATATTTCAGTAGTGATTAACGAAAAGTGTTAACATGTTAGTTCAGTAAAAATCGTCAAACAAATAAGTCGTCTAAATTTAAACAGCATTTAGCATTATTAAAAGCGTTGATTAGGAATTCTTTAAAGTCTCCACTCAACGGTAAAATACCATTATATTATGTATTATATATAATATTATGTTGCCATGAATTCGTAGGTATATTTTTTTGTTTAAAATGCAATTGTCGGCGTTTTTTAGAGAACTCAAATGGTTAATTTTGAGGTTATGTTTGTGCAAAAATTATTTTTTACTAATTACTTAAAAATGTCCAAACTTAAATATTAATTATATTAGGTAAAGTTATCATTAGTTAAATCTGCACCAACAAATGTACTTACCGAATTGGATCCTTTGGCAAAACATGAAAATGCAACGATTTAGTTCTTGAATTTTATTTACAATTAAAAACACAATAATTCACCATGATCCCTTTGATAAAATACACACACTAACGTATGTATACATATAAGCATTTAAGCGTTGAGTTTCTTAATCAATGATATAAGGAACAATTAATCAAAATCGAGTAATAAAAAAGTTTTTTTAAGTTTCTCCTTGCAACGTAAAACACAAATAACGTGCGCGATTTAGCTGTGCAATTGAACAAAATTTGTCGAGTAAGACTTTTGCCTTCCTCTCTTTTGTGAAAAAACTATCTATTTATTTAAAAATGATGTATAATCTGTGCTATAAATGTATTGTTGACAATTCTTAAATTCACGCAATGCTACCGAAGTCCACCAGATGACGCG